TCATAATACCCATGATGGCTACATGGTTTATGGAGACTTGAGTTAATATGAACTCGCATCCCCATATCAGTGCTCAATACTACTCCAAAAAATATACTTAGCTCATATATTTAAAAACAACTTGTTTCTTTGGTTTGAGATAATTACTCAAAACTTAGCTTAAAAGCTCTCTTGGAATCGATGTTCCCTTTTTTTCTCAAAAATGTGAAAACATTTTCAAACTTCTTGGGAATACTTAGTTCCCATATACTTCTTTGAAGAAAATGAACTTTACTCTTACTCTTTACTCAACTTCAAAGCTTAAGTCTTAAAACAAAGTTTAAACATTTGTAAAAGACTTCTTAAAAAAAATGGTTCAAGCCGAATTATGGACTTGAACGACTCAATGCAAGGTTTTTAATAACCATAGATAGAACTCAAATACTTGGAACTCAAGAACTTCAATGATTCTACTAATTTCAAGAATGCTCAACTCAGAGGGCTCATGCGGAATTATGAGCATGAACTACTCAACTCAAGGACTCAAAGATACTTCGCATCTCAAGATTGTTCGATTTATAATGCTCATGCGGAAGTATGGGCATGAACAACTCAACTCATGGACTCCGGTAATAGGTAATAGTCCCATGATTAGGATTATAATCTCAGAAGGGTTAGGAACCCGATACTCAAGACTTAGGACTTGAAGATACTACTCTTTTCAAAGATACTAAGTTGATGGAGTTCATGCGGAAGTTATGGGCATGAGCGACTTGACTCAAGGGTCAAAATATCACTAAGGAACTTAGGTAAACGACTCTTCTCATTCTCATACTTACTTCTGAAAACTTAACTCAAATCAATGGTGGATCTCAAAGGATTCACAATTGAACTCAAAGACTTTCTTGAACTCTACTCTTAACTCTCTCTTGAATGTGAATTATGAATTCAAGAGTTATGGTTCATGATATGAAAGATCTAAGTGATAGTGTAGACTCATGAATACATTTTCCTCACTCTCATACTCACTTGCTCGAGTCTTGAAACAAGTTATTAGAAATTGTAGAAGAATCCTCAAAATGACTAAAAGGGATTTTCTGAAAATGTTCGAAAGAATTCTCAAGACTTGACTCTCAACTCTACCTTGAATGTGATTTATGAGGTTGTGATTTGTGATAGGAAAGGTCTCATGATGTTTAGGATTGATTTTAGATAGCTAAACATGAGAAAAGACTGAAAACCAATATTTGAGAGTGGGTCCGCGACGTGGAGAGGCTTTTAAAATTTGGTTTCGAAAACGACTTTTGAGGCAGAACACTCCATGTCAGCTCCGCGACGCGAAACAGAAATTCTCAAATCTAGGAACCTGCCCCGCGACACGCAACCAACGTCAAATTTCGAACGACGAAATTTCATCTTCGTTTTCTAACCCCAATTCGCCTAAATTCGATTCTTTTTCTCAATCTCTCTTTAGATTTAGATACCAACACATGTACACTAGAATCTAACTCTAACCCCCTCTATAAATCGACACATTAACCTCAAGAACTCCTCAATCTCAGCCCAATTCAAGAACGAAAGCAAATTCATGAATACATAACAAGAACATCAAAGCTTCAACTTTTAGAACGAATTTAAAGCTGAAATTAACATGATTGGCATGTGGGTGAACAAACCCAACACTATGGAAATTTACATACCTGAAAGTAACCATCTTCTTGAAGAACTTGAAGGAAAATCTTGAAAGATGAACCCTAGCCTTAGCTTTTCTTTGAATTTCTTGAGCGTAGAATCTTTGGAGTGGATGAGAGGGGTTTCTGATTTTAAGAAAACTGATTTTCTACTCGCTTAGGGCAATTTAGATGATCTCCTAAGAGTTTTTAGGACTAAAATACCCCTAAAGAAATAATTAAAATGAGCTGGGAGTCGGAACTATTTTTCACCAGGCAGTGAGGTCCGTGTTGGCTCCGCGTCGCGGAGCTGCTGCCAGGTTTGCGCTACATTAGTAAATCTATCATAACTTTTTACTCAAAGCTCAGAATTTAGTAAACTCGGCGACGTTGGAAAGAGGACTCGAAGGGCTTTTATTTTCTATCTTGTAGCTCACCTAAATCATCTTGTACTAGGAGTTATGGTCATTTGAAGTTGACCCAAAACTTAAGAAAAACTAGGAATGACTTGAATACTTTTCTCTTAAGTTCTTCTTGAAACTTAAGGTGCTACCTCTAGTGACCTTAACACTCAAGAAATTTTAAATTCCTTGAAAAAATCTCACTCACTACGAAGAACAGTTCGAGTCTTGGCTCAAAAAAATTCTGGGGTGTTACACAGCCATTGACTTGAATCGCCAAAAGAGGTCCCCAAGTTGTTTTTCCTCAAAGTTATATCCAAGCTATGACAAAATAAAATGGGTGTAGTTGATGCACATTCATATATAATAATATCATAATTTAATTGTTGAAATCTTAGTATATGTATCATACCTCAAGCATTTTAATTTTCAATGCATGACGTCCACTGCACAAAATATAAGAATGCATGATATTTATTTTAGAAAAAAAAACAAATATCTATTGAACCATATCAATAACAACAACAAATTCAGTGTAATTCCTCAAGTGAAGAAGGTAGAGTGTACACAAACCTTACCCCTATCTCGTAGAGATAGAGAAGTTGATTTCGATAGACTATCGATTTAAGTAAAGCATTTCAAAGCAATTTGAAAAAGAGAGTACAAAAATGAAAGAAATAACAACAATGAAATAAAGCGAAAAGAATAGTAATGACAATAATGCAATAATCGAGTCATACTGATATCAATAAAAAATCAATAGTGTGTACCTGAGTTTTCCCAATTTAATATCGTGTTCACTAGCACGAATAAATCCAACATCTTCAGCAGATATAAATTCATATGTGCCTCTGTTCTTTAATATTCCATCCTAAATTAAGTACATAGAATAGCACACACAAAAAAAAAAAGAATAAATTCAAATACCTTTTTAATTATTTAAATAGCTTGTACATAGTTTTCTTTGATTTTTATTTCTACAATTAAATTCTTAATATTTAAATTGGGTGTAAATACCACATTTTCTTATTTGATTCGTCATTTTTGTAGTGTCATTCATAATTTTATTACATACATTTTAAATTTTTGGCTGATTGTTAAAAAAAATCTAAAATAAGTAAATTTCTTGAATAGGAACAAGCTAAGTCTAAAATGAAAAATGCAATGAAATTTGAAGGACCGCTTTTGTTTGTAGCTAGCGTTGTTAAAAAATGGGGAAGAGGATGACTCTTAACTATATCGAAAATTGACATTTGATGCCTTTTTATAAGGTCTTATGCACCTTGAATTATGGATGCCGTATTGCTGTGGATTCATCTTTATTTCTTAGTCTATCTGTTCAGACTCAGACTCTTTAGACTGTGTTTCCTCGTTTTGTTAAATAAATATGTCACACTAGGATGATGGGTTAAAAAAAAGAGTTTTGAACTAAATAAATATGTCACACTAGCTAGAATCTTAAATATATACCTAGGGTAATTTTTCCTTGAAATATTGAGTTAGATAAATATAGTATTAACTAAATAAAATTGACCTGATGAATTCAACTTTCATGAGTAAAAGCATTAGCGCCAACAATGGCCTTATGTGGCTGCAACTTAAGACCACTATACTCCTCTACCTGCATATATATAACAATATTATTATATGCATTATTCATTTTAACAACTAAAATACTATATATACATACCATGTTGCTTGTGGTAAATATATGCTTTGTATTAATCCCAGTATAGACACCACCTAGTACGTCCTTTCCACGACATTTTATGGCCATTGCTATCTATATAGAAAAAGTACAAGTTTATAAGTACAAAAAAGTAGAAATAATTATATAATTAAAGTTTATTCTCTCCCACCTCTTCTAGAGAAGCATTTCCAGCTCTTTCACCAATACCATTGATGGTTACATCTACTTGTCTTACCCCTACACAAATTCCCTGAATTCCATCGCCGTATCAGACTCAAACTAACGATATGTAACTTTAGAAACGAAGTACTCCCTCTGTTCACTTTTAATAGTCATGTTGCGTTTTTTAAAAATTAATTTGACTAATTTTCAAAATACATTGTAGAATTTGACTCTAAATTTTTTTTTTATTGACAATTAAAAGTGGACAGAGGGAATAGTTGGAAGCTAATACATACAGCTAATGTGTTGGCAGTAGCAAGTCCAAGATCATTGTGACAATGTGCTGCAAGGATCACATTTTGGATACCTAATGTATTGGCTTTTATGTCAACAATTAGTTGTGCAAATTCATTTGGCAAATTGCATCCAACAGTATCAGCAACACAAATGCATGTTGCACCAGCTTTAATAACTTCTCTAATAATATGATAAACAAACTCCTTATCAGATCTGACAAAAATAATAATAAGTATATATACACCATATGGTAAAAATATAAATATGACAAATATTACAAACCTTGTAGCAACTTCCAAGCCAAACCTAACATGCTCAAACCCAAGACTTCTGGCATAACCCACCATTCTCGCTCTCTCCACAACTTCTTCTCTACTCATATTCAATTTATATTTCATATGTATATCGCTTGTCGCGATAAACGTACAAATCATCGGTGTCTTTGCATACTTAAAACTCTCCCAAGCTCTATCGATATCTTCCTTAGTAGATCTCGCCATACCACAAATCATTGGTACATATCCCTCTTCATCTACGCTATTACCTGTTGAGATATAATATAAATACGCACATGGTAATATATATATATATATATATATATATATATATATTTTATTTTTTATATATATATATATAACATTTTGTTAAATAATGATCATTTAATTTAACATTACCAATTTCATGTGCTATACACTTTACAAGCTCAAACTCAATCTCAGAGGAAGCTGGAAAACTAGCCTCAAATACATCAACACCAAGCTTGACGAGCTGACATGCAATGTCCATCTTTTGTGTAGCCATCATGGAGGCACCAGGAGCCTGCTCTCCATCACGAAGCGTCGTGTCGAAAATTGAAACATAGTTAGGATCAGAGAATTTGTCATTCCGGCGGGTCCTCTTGTTCCTTATTTTATGTTTTGTTCTATTTTAGAGACAAAGACATTCAGAATTGTACTTCTCTTTCAATTCTATATTTATATTAGTGGCTTGTACTCGTGACAACTAGGTTTTGAGTTTATATTAGAATGACTAAGTTTTCCATTTTTATGTTATTCCTGATTACTTTTCGCATTTATTTCGTATCGTTGGGTTGAGGCTGACTTGTCTTGGTGGAAATTGTAACACTTCGAAATTTTTTAAGTTAAGACTGGAACCATTCTTCATTTGCTTATAGGGTCATATCGGGTGATTCTTAAATTGCCCATATGTGTAAAAGTAAATGCTTTAGTGTGGGAATGATTTTGGGTATCAATTAAGGTCACTAGAAACTCCTAGCACAAAGTTGAGTTGAAAGCTTCCTTACCGATTAAGTTTTGATGTAAGATTCAACTTAGGTCAACTTCAAAGGACCATATCTCTTAGAATATAAAGAGTTACGTGGCCCATAACCTATCAAATTAAAGGTATTTGAATCTTCTTTCCAACGCCACCAATTTCGCATCAATCCAAATTTTGAGTAAAAAGTTATGACCATTTTTGTAACCGGATATAGTGTTGTGATGAATTAGCCGACGGGAAAACATTAAAAAAGGTCATTTTTTTCTTTTTACCTCTAAGAAAATCCTTAACGAACTTCTTGAATAATCAAAGACCCAAAACAATTTGATTTTAGTCTCTTAATTCATCATTCTCTTCTCTCTCAAACCCTAAGGACAAAACCCTAAGGAAAAATCAAAGTAGAAGACTCTATTCAAGATTGTTTCAATCTTTTCAAGATTCTTCTTTAAGGTAAGTCTTTCTCCAAGAATTCCATTCTTTTCAACTCAAATTCCTCCATACAATTATGAATCACTAATGAAAATCATAATTCTTGGCCATAGAGTTTCAAGAAACTAATTCAAGAATCTCAAGAAAAGGTTTTCTTGATTGTTTAACTTCAAGCTAGGGTTTCAAGGCTTCTAATCAAGTTTTTCTTCAAGATTCTTCAAGAACCTTGTTCTTTTCTTTCAGGTATGTAAGGATATCATAGTGTTGGACTAGTTCGTCCTCACACCCACATCTACTTTTAAATCAGTAAAAGAGTAATCTAGAATTCTATCCCTAGATTTGAGTATTCTTGAGATAAGTTGATTTTGAGTTATTGAGTTCCTGATTCTTTTTTGAAATTCTATACCTAATTATTGAAATGGTATATGTTATTTATTAAGATTCTTGAGTTGATTCGTTCATGTATATATTTTAACATGAACCCTATGAATTGAATATTCATGAGATGAGTAGTGTTGTTGTGTTTCGAGTTCTTGAGTCCTTGAGTTCTTGAGTTCTGAGTACTGAGTTTCCATATTGTAACACCCGAGAAAATTTTTCGAACTAAGACTCAAACCGTTCTTTGTAGTGAGTGAGATTTTACCAAGGAATTAAAAATTTCTTAAGTGTTAAGGTCACTAGATGTAGCACATTGAGTTCCAAAAAGAATTAATTTGGAAATAGCAAAATCTAAAATTTTACAAGCTAAGCTAAGTATGAGTTTTGGGACGACTTCAAATGACCATAACTCCTAGCTCAGGATGAGTTAGGTGTTCTACCAGATACTGTAGGAAATATCTTTGAATTTTTCTTTCTAACGCCACCGAGTTTGATAAGTTTCCAGGTCGGATGAGTGAGATATGACACTTTGAAGTTAGGTTGTCCAGGTAAGGAAAGTTAGTCGAAAATAGTGAGGGGTATTTTGGTCATTTCCTTACCCAATCATATTTAATTCATTTTTAGTAATAATTTAGGGGTCTAATCTGATTAGGTTCAGTTTTATAATCCTAAAATTA